GCGCGGTAGGTCTGCATACCGGGCTCTCCATCTGCACAGCTTGAAAATACTGCTTTAAGGAATGTCTGTCATGTGCTTTAAGGAATGTGTGCCGACTCTGCAGAGTCGGGACAGCACGGTGCATCACTATGGAAAGATTACTACGTGTGATCGTTGTTCTTTCGCTGCGCGAAACACGCGCCAGGCAAAGGAATGCGGGCTAAAGGGGCACTGCTTTGAGTGACCCTTCCGCCACAAGCTGATGCACCGTTCATCCCAGGGCATGGCCACTCGAGTTGTTTGCAGCCTGCACAATGTGACCAACAATCTTCTGCACCTGGAAGCTATGGAGAACCGCCAGAACTACTTGCCTGCTCCATCGCCAGGTTCATGCCATGGCATGTCGTTGACCTCAACGTCATCAATAATCCCACTTCACGATCTTCGAGAGTTTTCAGGTCTTGTTGGATACAGGGCATTGACTTGATGGCGCCCATCTTCATGCCGACCTCCATGTCAGCGTCTACAGCCATCTGGTACCTGGCGCTCGATACGCACACACACACACACATGTCGAGGCAGCTGCAGTATGGCTGGCAGCATCGACTTCACTTCGCACGACCGCATGCTTGCAAGACACACAAACCGGATCCGTCGTGGGGCACTCTCGCTGCTTCATTCGTTGGGCAAGCTCTCTGCGTGCGTCTAGGGCCTCCTTAGCTTCGGCCACAATTCGCAACACGTGTCGTGGTCCATGTATCTAGCTACACACACACACACACAGTGCGTCCTCCGGTCAGGTAAGTTCTGCGCGTTGTCAATCATGGCCATGTCTTGCTGATCCTGCTTAACCTCATAGACTTGAACCGGAGCTTCCACTTTCAATGTGACTCTTGCAGGCAAGAAGCGCGAAGCTCACTGAACCAACAGGTGGCCTCTGGCAAAGCACGGCACAGCTGGCAGCGTTGTGGGAGCAGCAATGGACTGCACAGGTTGCCTGAGTGTCGGTGTTGTAGATGAAGAGAGCGCCAAATCCACAGCACGTGGAATCTCGGAAGGGCCTCGGCTCTGTGCGGAAGTCGGGTCAAGTGAAGGTTCAGGCCTATGCAGCCGTTGCTCAGTTTTTGCTAAGTGCAGCTCACTGTCTGGATTGCAGGGGCATAGCCCTTGCCTTCAGAACTCGGTTGTGCGGATTTTCAGAGTTCTTGCATAGCAAAGATCATGCAGCTCGCCTCGAGTATCCACCTGAGCAACTGCAACTTTGTCAGCCCAGTCGATTTTGATGAGGACCTCAATGCACAACGCTACAGTACATGTCGCAAAAGCTAGGATATCCGGCACCAGCCTTGTTCCACCTGTCGTTTTGAATCTTTCCGTCATTGCTGATCCTCACCTGAATTTCGTGATGCCAGTAGTTGAAGTGAGTGCGCTTTGCAGTTTGGCCATCTGAGTGAGCTGCCAAGTTTCCTCCACCTCCACAGAGCTGCATGCCGCCCCGAACCTCACTCACAGGATTTCTGGCCTGTGACGAGCGTGCCAAAAACATGCCACATGTTGTGCTCTCAGGCTTCTGCTGTAAATTGCACGCCCACTTTGCAGTCCGGCAAAGCTCCCTCTTGCAGGTTTCAGGTCAGGTTTCAGGCACTCAGATGTGCAAAGCCACCATGTTTGAGGTCTGCCTGGAAGGGCTTCTCCGTAAACACCAAGCAGGCATTCGGCATGTCGACCTCGTCACGAACGGGGCTCAAGCTACAATGGGCCCAAAAATGGCCGGAGGTGCACCTTCCCATTGACGGTAAACTCGAACTCCACCTTCAAGGAATTTTAAGCTCTAGGCTGTTGCAAGGCTGTGCTTGGACTCGCTGGGCTAAGACCTTTTGCAGGACGCCTCCGTTGGCCTGATGAGTGGGGCGAAGGAAGTCCAAATCCCTGTACATGGTGCGTTGGCCGCACCTGCATGTGCAACTTCTATGATTCCGTGGTTTTGCAAACCAGAGGGCCCTTCACTGTTCTTGCCTCCCATAAGTTGCAAACAGCTTTTGGCATCCTGGACAACAGAAATCACAAAAAAGTCACACATGCGCACCAGGCTGGTCGGTGACAGCTATCTTTGGCACGGTATGACTGCCGGATCTTCGGGTATGCCAAACGCTTCTGACTTTGGCCGACATGGGCTTCATCACAGAGGCTGCATGATTTACGTACCCAAGAGCACCGCTGACGGAAACAAAAGCTTGTCCTTGGGATTGGATGGGTACTTCACCTCAGCACAGGCACTCCCAGAAAATCTCTTTCATGCCGCTTTGATCCAACAAGCTCAGCTTGCCGCCAGCTTCGCGGATATCAAGCCCTTGCGTATTTCCTTGCCGCTCTCGTCCTTGCTGACAGCACATTTAGCCTGCGGAATGAAACCTTGATGGCCCTGGCAAGCATGGCCATGGCACCAGTGTCCTGCTCCGAGGGTCCAAGAAGCCTCACTGCAGTTTTCACAGAGTGGGGATAAGCGACTGGCTCGCCCGCAACACTCCGAGACGGCGGCCATCGCTCCTGCCAGTCTTCTGTGAACTTCTCGATGTACTCAAAATCCACGTCGTTGACCACCACGCCCTCCTCCGTCAAGGCTGCGCCAGCCGCCGGCACCCCTTCAGATGCTGCGGCTGGTGTAGGTGTTGGCTTGGCAACTTCCAGAGCCAGCATGCTGAGGGCTGATCTCAAACATGCCGTTCGTTTGCTTGCTTCTTCCAGCTTAGCGCTAAGCTGGTTGCTTGTTGGCACGGTGGTATCATCTATGAGCATGACAGCCATCTCGTCGAAGCCGGGGAGTACCTGAGGCAACGTCTTTTCTGCCATTGCCTTGGACATCTCGACAAGGAGGACCATCTGGAAGTCAGTAGCTTCGGCTTCCACGCCGAGTGTCTTCGCGACCTCGCTGGTCTTTTCACACTCGAAGGCCTCGATTGGCATCCTAGAGTCGCAGTATCTGCGCAAGTTTGGCGGTGAGGATCCCAGTTGCAGAACCAGCCGTGATCCTCGAGTCAATGCTTCCTTCAATGCGCCTTGAAGTGATGAGCGAGCCACATCTTGTGACATTGACTTGGCCAGCTGTACCTGCACCTGCAGCTGGCACACGTTCACCATGACTGCACCAGCCAGCTGCAGGTACTGGCTGACAGCTTTGGTAGCCAGTGAACTGCTGCAAACCAGACAGGCATGCTGCTTTGAGTGCAGCGCATGCTGCAACTTCCCGTGGACTTCCCTGTATGCCACCATTGGCCATTCCATCGGGAATTTGGAAGGGCTCTCTGCCCTCGCAACATACGCCTCGACTAGCTGAGCCACTGCCAGCGCTGCCCGTGCACCGGGTGGCGGTGCAAGGGGCTTGGCTTTGGCTTTCGCTTTGGCTGGGGCCTTCGCCTTTGGCGGAGGCGGCTCATCTGTTGCGGCCATGAGGCTTCCTAGATCTGCCTCTCCCACGAGTGCAGCTGCTTTTTGCAACTGCAGCTGGGTACACCCCAGTGGGCCGCCCAATGCACGAATCTCGCGAACCTCGGCGTGCAACGTGAAGCACTTCACTACAGATGCTGTAACAACTTCTTTCGTGCAGGTTGGGATCGCCCCTCATGGCTCCCCGGTTTTGTGCAAAGCTTAGAAAATGCTGGGCGCCACGCTAATGCTTCAGGCTGCTCCAGGGCGGCAGCTGCCGTTGGCCAGCTTGTGGCATCGGCGTCGCCGAGAAGCGTGAGGAGGGCCTCGAGCGCCTTGCCGACGGCATTGCTCGGCGTCTCTGTGTTTGCGAGTGCCGCCCAGTCTTCGTCTTCGATAAAATTCAGATTTGTCTCTGCGTCGAACACCTTGCATCTTCATGAGCACATGCAATGACACGCGCACATATGTGACAAGGATTAACAGCACATGAACAGGTCGTGCCGGACAGGCCACGGACAGCTTCTCTGGCCCCGGTGATTTTGCCTGAGATGTGCTGTATATGTGGGAAAGGAGGGTTTTCAGGGATGTGTAGACTGTGAGAGATCTCTGACTCGGAAGAGAATGGGCGTTGCTTCGCCGCGCTCTTTCTTGCCACGAGGCTGCCGGCTCCGGAGGCTCGGGAGGCTCGGGAGAGGCAGACTTGGCCTTGGCGGTCGCCTTGGCTGCCGCCTTGGTGGTCGCCTTCGCACCGGGCTTCGCCTGCAACGTGTGCCAAAGGGCGTGTCGAGATTCGCTCCCTGAAGCAACATGAAGAGAGAAGGGGCGAAGGAACTGCGAAGAGGGAGGACTTGAAGAGACACCGTTTCTCTGTCGACACTTGGGCAACGAGCCTTCGGCGGCATGGCACATGATCTCAATTCCACGCTCTACATACTTCGAAACTTAAGCTGAACTCTAAGGCCTGCTCTCTCCAACCAAATTGGGATCTGCTGCACTGCTGCACACAGGCTTAGTCACTTAGTAATGTTATCGTGGAAGGGCAAATATCGGCACATACCCATACTCCACAAAAGTCTGCCCCAAAGTTGCTAGAGAGCAAATGAGCTCTGAAGACCGTTTTGAGTGTGAACGCTTTCACGTGGGATCTCTGCACCATGTGAGCTTGAAGGAGGTGGAAAGGGGCGCGTCTGATTGATTCTATATATCCGGGAAGAAGCCAACGTCCCGCCTTGTGTCTGCCATGTCCCCAAGAAGCAGTTTGGCAGGCAGGAGTGCTCAAACATGCTGCCTGGGCATTGTCAGATTGCATCACATCGCCATTGCCCCAAGTTGCCACGGATGTGCAGAAGGACAGTTGGTGAATATGTTAAACCTTTACTTGCCCCAACAATTCTGAAGCAACACCCCCCAAGATCATGTTGGAAGCCAGTGCCCTCTTTCCGAGTACCCTTGCCGACTCCAGCGCTTGGGTTTGGCAGGCTGAGAAACGGGTTGAGGAGAGACACTGGTTTCCGTTGGTACCGGCTGCGATTCTTTGTCGCTTGAGGAAGTTTCGGGGGTGGAGCTGTCTTCATCAGCTAACATGTGGCTTGCAGGTCTTGCAGTGTGACGACTCCAACGTCTGTGAGCCGGTGTTGCCGGTGTTGTTGTCGTTGCTGCCGCTGTCAGCTGCAGCCAGCAACGAAAGTTGCATGACCGAGACGCACACCGTAAGAAGTGCCGGCCATTCTCTTTCAAGCCCATGACCCGCCTCAAGAGCGCAGGCCGCTGGCACCGACAGGCTGGAAGATCGACGACTTCGTTCAACCAGGCGTGAAAGCCACAGCCATCCCAAGGACCAGGAATCCCACAGCCTCCGTCGTCATAGCTGCTTCCCCTTCGCCTTTGGCAGGAGAGGTAGGGACGTCGATCCTCGCCATAGCCTGCGTAGTTACCGGCTCGAACCTGCAAAAGCGCCGGCATCAAGCCACAGTTGCAAGTTGGTAGTTGAAGGGTCTGCTCCTGTCGATGCACACGCCCGGAAGAAACTGACAGGCTTGGCGTAGGCTGGCAGGACGGACAGAAGTATGTTATGCGCTGTCTTCGCCCTTCCTTTATCAGGCTCACAGGGCAACTGCAGCAGGAGCACACCTTGTGGCCATAAATTCTCATTAAATGACAGCAGCCCATGTTCTGCCCATCTTGACTGGATTGACAGTGCTTATACCAGAGGTCCGAGAACTGGTAAAGCGCTTCTAGCAAGTCATTCCACTCCTGGGCAGTAAGTTCACTGGCGCGTCGGAGTGGGAAGATGCCTGCGGCAAACAAGCCTTCGCATTTGATGATGTTCCCAACTCCAGGCAACTTTGACTGATCCATCAGCAGATCGCAAACGAGATCCTCGGATTCCTGAAACAAACGAACAGCCTCCGCAAACGCGAAGCGTGCCCTGTCAGCATTAATGTCGAAAGCGCTGCGAGCCTCAAGAGATTGAACGTACTCGGGAGGTGCTAGGCTGAAAGAGCTTCCCAAATCACTCCAAAGCAGAAGCTGCAAGCCAGAACCGTTAGGATTCGGAGAGACGCGCGCGCAGTCAGTAGAACGGTCAGCTTGGCCACCATCTAGGTCTGCCTCTTCTTCTGAGAACTCCAGGATAACTGCTGCAGAATCCTGCTTGCAATGGCCACCTCCCGCAGATTTGGGACCCCATCGGATAGCACCATGAGCTGACTTTTCCTCCACCACGTATCCTCCTCCATGACCGAAATGAAAGCGCACCCCGCCTCCTCTCCGTTGTGGGTCCCAGCGTACCCCAAACAATACAAGCAGCTCCTTGCCCACTGTGAATACTTCTAAAGCTCTGCAACCTATCAAGGAACGGAAATCTGCAGCTTGCTGGGCAGATTCTGCTCGAAGCACCGCCCTGAGTCGACGCCGTAGCAACACTCTCAGCAGTTCTGCATGGCGATGATACTTGGGACCTTCTACCATTAAACAAACAATTCAGGAATGTCTCGCTCACTCCGAGCAATGTTTGAGTGCACTTGAAGTTCACCTCACATCCCATGAGGTGCGGCTTTAGGTCTACGCAATATATGACATATGTCGACGTGCGTTCTGCCGCTAGTCTGGGTATGTCAGGGTTTTTGAAGCGCGAGGCGCACATTGGTGCCCGTTGAGCCTTGATCGAACCCTACTGGTAAGATGTTCTATGACATCCGTCTCCATGTCACATTCTGTTGCACATGCATCCTCAAGCTACGTCTCTTCCGAGCTGCACGACAAAGACAGTGCTCAACAGACAGCGATTGCAAGCAGCTCAGAGAGGACTTGATGAATTTCAAATGCAGTCAAGATGCCTGCCAACATCAATTCCATGCTCTGCTCGCTGTATCCGAAGCGATTACTGGCGCAGGAAAGTGCAAAGTCAACTTTTGTCGGGCATGGATCTGCCCCGCATCATGGAAGACCAGCACATGAATTTCTGATACAAATTAGCCAACACCTCTTGTAAACACTGCCCTGGAAGCTCTCACTTCTCCGTAGAGTCATAGGTCATAAAAATGGTAAAAAGGCACGCGCTATCATGCTTTTCTGCTCGATGATGTCATTGCATATCCATGTGAACCGCCTCTGCGCATTTCCAGGCTACGAATAGCCTCTCAAGTGCCAAGCCGCGACTCCGGAGAGTTGAAGTCTCAAAAACCTGTACAGCGATGGGCCTTGATGCAAACTTTCAGGTACTCCAGCTTCATCTTGCAAACTCCCCTGTTTTCTGTAGTGCCCATCGTCCGGAGCCCCTAGTCTGCAGTAGCTTCGATTTCTTCGGGCCCCCTTATGAAGCAATACTCTGGCTAAACCAGTCAACGCATTGGACTTGGTGCAAAACTTGTTCACATCAAGTTATTAAGTTAAGTCCAAAACCAAATATGTCTCTCTAGACTGTTCTAAAAAACGAAAGTGATTTATACAATCTATTCGCCACAGCTATTGAGCTGACAATGTACTTCATCCAATAAAATGAAGTATGGCTACTTCTAAATATTAGCAGACAGTTAAGCAACATGCTCATTCAAACTGAAGGGTGGTCAAACAGGATGTGTACCGAATAAACTTGACCAATCAAGTTGTTATGCGAGTTCCCTCCATCAAACCTAGCCTGATTCAACTAGCATACTGTGCGAAAACACTACTGGGACCCCCTCTTTCTTGTTCCGTTAAGCAAGTTCAATATTAGAAACACATAAGAGAACACAAATAACAATTTGAACGAATGAAGAAACTTAAGAAATTGGATGTCCATTCAAAACTAGATATCCCAAACAGACTGTGTTTATCGATTTCTTCTGTTCCTACGCTACAGACAACAAGTAGGAAGTTCTGTCTTCGCAGATGTGAAGATACCTGTTTTCCAGACTTGGACTTGAAGGTGTAAGTGTACGTGTGCAGGTGCAAGCATGACAAATTATGGATCAGGGGGGTTGTGACCACATATATATGTATACACACAAACACACATTCTGGCTCTCTCTCTCTCTCTCTCTCGTTTGTACATAACGAGATACTCATGCTGCTGTGTGCTGTCACATGAACGACGGCAAAGGCCTGCTTAGAATCTGTAGAACATAGGTGAGCTCCTCGAGTGATGTCATGTCCTGACAAAGGCAAACACTTCGCAGTATGGACTCAGTATGGACAGTATGGACAAGGACATGGACTTCTGCGACAATCAGTTCTGCAACTTGCCTGGAAGTCCTTCCGCAAAGCATCCCATATGTCCTGTGGCAAACCCTAAACCCCAAACCCTAAACCCTAAACCCGGCCCTAAACCCTAAACCCTAAACCCTGCCTCTCTGACTTGACTCTATGCTGGTCTCATACCGTGAGGGTAGATGAATATTGTGGCCCAGCACGATGCTTACACGCAGGCTGGTCAGCGAAAGCAAAACTCCTCCGCGCATTCCCGGTGGTTGGCTTCGGATTGAGAACTGCTTCGGCAAAGTGAGCCTGGCCAGCCCTTCCACCCTCCACCCTTTCCCGCCGGCACAGTCCGCAACCATGCCACATGGCATGTGCAATGGCACGAGCCAAATTCGTCTATCGCAGCTGCAATTTTGATCGACTCGCGAGTGCTTGCAGAGCAATGTCGCTGCATGTGCTCGCGGAAAGGATGTGCTGGTACGTAAAGCACGAACAACACTATCATCTGCTCCGGCATGGATTTGCCAGGAACCGATGCTCTGGTATAGCATGCGCATTATCCTTGTTTGCATCAGCCACAATCGTTTACAGACCTTCCGAGCTCCAGACAAAGCTGCTGCAGCTGGATCCGGGATGCTTCGCGAACATCCTACTCGATCAGGCCAGCTGGGTGCTGACATATGCTTGCGAAGCAACTTGCTACCGCACTACGATATGTCCTGCTCCAGAGCATCGTTTCTGGCACGCTTCTTGCACAGAAGCACCTACAGTAGGCTCTGGCTGCAATCTTGAGCAACCTTGCTGTTCATGCTTCCGATGTGACAGATCGCCACCCACTGCACACTGAGACGGTTGCGCCGGCAATGCAATCGATGAGTGGACTTCGTGGGTGGAAACATTCCTGACTCTTCAGCATTGTACTGCAACGGAGGCACAGCACTTGTCTTTGCCCCATTGGCCCACTGTGACATCTTAGGTCCCTCTTGCTAAGCAGGGAAAACCCTGTGCTGCTGTATGCCATGTCCTCAAACTCGGGCGCTTCCTCCATGCTTCCCTGCCGTCTATGGTCTCGCATGACGCGGTGTCTTATTTCTTTTGTGCATGATTTTCCCTGAAATGCAACGTTCTGCAAAGCCCTTCCGCAGACCTTGCACGGTTCGCAACCACAGCCAGGCTTTCGAATAAACGGAACAACGCTATCGCAAATCAGCTAAACGTGAGTTCCTGCAGATGTCGTTCCGCACAGGACTAGATATCACGTCAGTTCTGTACGGCCGGCCTTGGAAGAGTCATTGCAGGGCGACAACTGCTTCTCGAGAAACGCCTTAGCTACGCTACTGGTAAACTTACCAGTGTCAGAGAAATTCACCGCACAGGCATCTTGACTTTAAGGCCTTGGCCTCGCAGTAGACTTTTTGGCTTCTGACGCCCTTTGTGTTTCCTTCGAAGATTGGCCTGAAGGGACTGTATTGGGTTCAGCACATCCAGGTTTGCAAAGGACGTGCCTCTCACAAAGGATCACTTCGCCCGCCTGAAGTTTGCTGCAGTGACTCGCAACGATTGAAAGCTCAATTGAAAACAAGTCAAGTGGGCCTTCAATGCACAGTTCGCCTGGAGGAACCGCCTTAGTGCAGCACATCTGTCAAACCCGAATCGGTGACAACAAACGCAGAAGTCCCGAAAGAGTGCAATCGTACATTTCCGATCCTACCCGAAGCTGAATAAGGGAAATCAATAGAATCAATAGAAACAAGAGAGAAGAAGTGACACTGGCTCTCAGCATGCGCGAGAAACTGCCCTAGGATCCTCCATTTCCCTCCTCTTCATTCCCCGTGTCTACGTTCATGCGGGGCTAGGATTACAACACTCAACTTTGGCGACTAAAATTGGGTGATGTAAGGTTGAAATGGGACGATGTAAGCCCCAGTTTTCTTAAGTAACCGGTTCTTCTTATGATGTAATCGTAACCCCCATTTGGGCTGAAATGGGGTGAGGTGCATTGCCCAGGAGGAAGCTTCTCGAACTGGCAGGTCGCCGCTTAATAGGTTTTTGGATCCTAACTCTATTGCAAATGCACGTCTAGCACCTCTGGATGAATTCGACCTATCCCCCACACGGTAGGCATTTGTTCTGGTGCCTCTAGTAGAGTCTGGCCGAAGACTCAGACGAAGGCTGAGACAAAATGGCATACGGATGTGAAAGAGGTGCGCATGTAATTTGCATGCCGGTACTAACAGTGTTCCTAACGTTGTAACTACACAGGTGTATTTCACGGTAGTCTTCGGCTGAATCTTCAGCGAGCTGGGTGCGCGGCCCTTTCTCGCCATCGCCATCCATCTTAAGTTTGGGGGTTGGAGCAGGCTCGGCAGACTGTCGGAATACGCAGCTAGCGACTCTGCAACAAAATGAACGCTCAATGGCTGGCCTTCAGCTGTACTTTGTGCGATGCCTTGCTCACATAGTTCTGAACCTGCAGGCCGGGATTTCGCAAATGGCTCCTCCGTGTGTCTACGAACGTGAAGCGAAAGTCTCTTCTGAACTGCTCGAGACAGCATGCTCCAGAAAACCTGTTTTGCTTTGCTACACCGGAAAAGGCTCTAAATCTCTCACGACTGGAAGCTACAGTTACAGACTTCGCGGGCCCAGCACATCATTCGGCGCCATTCTCAAGACGTCTCACTGAAGACAGGCCTAGCTGTGCCAAGGCATGTGCTGCCGCAGCCCGCACCATAGGCACATCATCTGTCTGGCAAGATTCGATCTCTTCCGCGAAGGCTGCCCCATAATCACCAAACTTTCCAAGTGCCTCGCAGGCAGCTGCCCGAGCATTGGGGTCTTGATTTCCGAGCTCTGATGCGATGGCACTTGCGTAGCCCTGCCCGACCGAATCCATGGTTGACAAAGCTCGCAAAGCTGCTGCTCGAACCATACCGTACTCATCCTCCAGGCATTTGAACACCTGCGAGCAGTACTTCTTTGCAATCTCGGGGCAGCTTGCCAAAGCTTCCAAGGCGGCTTCTCGTACTGAAGGTGCTTCGTCTTTGAACAAATCAGGAAGATTATCCATAACATCTTGAGCTTGGAGTGCTGCAATGCACTGGCAGGCTTTTAGCCGGACGATGTAGACATCATCTTCCATTGTTGCCATGATGCTTGTGGATTGCTTGCTCGCGGCTTCACCCATGTGCATGAGCGCTTCCAACGCGCACAACCTCACCTCGTAGGCCTTGTCTCTCAAGCACATGGCCATGTCTGACACGTGGCTGCTTGCATTCATGAGGGAAAGAGCTGCCAGAGCAGCACATTTGGGACGGCGAAGAGTCGCCGGTGACCTGAGACTTCCCCCTCCCACGGCCAAATAGCTTTCGGAGCTGTCCTCTGCATCATCGGCCAGGAGTTTTGCAACTTCCGAGGCATGTGAGGATGCTTGTGGACCTAGCTTGCCGAGACTGAGGGCAGCGGAACATCGAACTCCTGGATCTGCATCTTTCAACAAGGTGGCGATGTAGGGAGCCCCTGCCTGTGAGCTCAGGACTGCCCCACTCGCAGCTGCCAAAGTGTTTGCAGCGGCTTGTCTTGTCAGGCTGTCCTTGTCTTTCAGGCATGCTGTAATCTCTTGGATGTACTTCTCAACTACCCCACCGCCTAGCTTCCCAAGCGCGCTCACAGCCGCAAAACGAGTTGATGGATCCTGAAGCTTCTTTGCTATGCGCGGTGCTTCCTGCACACCTTGGGGAAGGTATCCCAAGCCTTGACATGCCGCTGCAACAACAGTTGCAGAGCTGTCATCCAAGTACTTTGCCAAGGTAGTGGCCTCATGCTCGGCGCCTATGGCCCCCAAAGCTGCAATGACAGCGGCTTGTGTGGGCTCGTCTGACACTCTCATCAGGCAAGTTGACAGGCTGGCTTCGTAAGCCGCAGCCTGCTTGCCGAACTGAGCCAGGGCTGTTGCAGCAGCTTGGCAAACCTCTGGGCTCCGATTCAAGCCAGAAGCGATTTGGCTCATGTGCTTGATGCCTTCTTGCCCCATGTCACCTAAGGCGGTGATTGCCGCCGCAGCCACCTCGTCGTTGCGATCGTGGACCATTGTTCCGACCGTGTTGGCATACCCCATGTCAGCCGCTGCTTTCTCTCCTCTGCTGCCTAAGTCGAGCAGCCACTGCACAAGCTCTTCGGGTTTGTGCGTGTTCTCAGTCCTCTGGAGGGACTGCTCCTTCACGAACCTCGTCAGCTTATCCATGCTCTCGAGGTGAGCGTCCCACCGATTTCACTAGCTATATCATAGGCTATATCTGCATTGGGACCTACCTTGAACCACAAGGCCCGGCAAGAGCAAATCACCTCCAGCTGTAGGTCTGGGAGGGCTAAAGGTGCTCACTGAGGCATTGCGCATGCAGAGTCATGGTAGCTGCTTTAAGCAGAAGAGGTATCGTGTGCAGCCGAGTCCAGCCTCTTCAAGTGAAAGCGCCTGCCATATTCACAATCCGGAGCAGATGACTCGATGACACTGAGCTGATACTGGGGGCAAACTTCTCGCTGCAAACTCTCAGCCTGGTTTTGTGAGAGCATCGCTGCGAACATGGCTGGGCTCAGGTCGCAGTGCTTGTAACACCTGTTCTTTTTGCTACCAACATGCTCTGGAAATGACATGCAATGCAAGCCCGGCAGACTGGTGGGCCAAGGCAATGACCGAGCGACATGTTCAACGTCATGGCGACATGATGCGACACGCGTGCTGAATGGCAACTAGCAAGGCTCAGCAGCATGCTTTGCCAGCATGGGTTGCAGCACGCTGCTGCAGCTGTATCCAAGCATCTCAGGGGAGCTGCTCTGGAGTGGGAGGCCTCTTGAAAGAGGCGAAGAATGGTAGAGTGCTTCGGAAGTTGCAAGCTGATTTTGCAGCCTGATCTTCAGAAGCTATCGTCAACTGCCCTGGTTCCTGTTGACAGGCCAGCGCAGATAGACGCAGATTGAGGAGAAACAGGCTTAGACGATGTCTCGACCTTGCATCAGCTGCACTAGCCGGGCGAGGTAGAATCCAATGTGGTCAGCTTCTCCCCAGTGCGAAATCGTCCATCAGGTGCCACTCTTCCACATGTCTACAAGAAACTTGATCTTTCAAGTCAGCTCGTGTGGCATCTGAGAACAATGCTCCTGTATCGTCCGAAGACCGGAACTTTCCGTGCCGTGAGGCAACTACGACCCTGGCTCATACCCCTCTGACCCTCTCAGACGGGGTGCAGGGCCATCCTCGGGCTCGCTACACCGCAGTTTGCTGATGCCGGGCCTTAAGCAACAAGCAGCTTGCGCATCATGCTGGACGCAGCGCAGTGTGCAGCCTCCAGCAAAAAATGAGGCCCTGACAGCTTGTCCAGCTGCTCAGGTAGTCGGCTCAATTGCTCCGGCAATCGACGGAACATGTTGCCGACGTCGTGTGAGAGCTCGGGATGAGTTGCCCAGTAGTGAAGAGCCAGTGGTAGAAACACCTAAGTGCAACTTTCAAATGCAATGATCTTGCTATGAGCTTCGTGCTTTATATCACGCCACCCTGAGGAGAAGAGCTGTGGTTGCAACGTGTACCATGCTGAGATGTTGGCCGTTATCAAGGGGTAGAGCACTAACAATGCAGCCTTCCCTGCTCTTCCATGCATGCCCCTGCCGTCACCAGGCTCTCCAGCTGTCCACTTCTGCAATACTTCAACTTCCACGTGCTGCACCCTTGTCAAGTGATTCTGACACTGTCGTGCCTGGGTGGGCAGCATGTGCAGATCGCGAGCCAAAGGAGGCCTTGCCCGGGGCCCCAACAACACCCACAATACATAACGTTCAATACGTTCAGAAACATAGAAGCATCTTTACTCATGCGTAACAACAAAGGCTGATATCTTCTCTTTGAATGGTTGCACTGCGCGGAGCCTGCCAGGCAGCAAAGCACCATTTGCCACACCCCAAGCCAAACAGGCCACCAACACCCTAGACTCTCATGGCCTGTTGTGGTTTTAGAGGCCTAGAAGCTTTGGTACCATCTCTGCCTGGCCTAGGTTTGACACCACGGAGTTGAGAGGAGCGTAGGTCCTCAACAAAGGGGAAGCAGCTTTGGCAGGGCAAATTGCCACGCTTGCGTTTCGCACGTGCTTCAACGTGCAGCATGACAGATGCTTTGGTCCTAAGGGCAAACAAAGGGACGAGGACGCAAAGAATGAAGCCGGTCACCTCGGAGTTCAACGGCGTTCATGATGCAAATTCATGCAAATGGCCAAGTGGCCAAGTCATCAATGAATCAAGTTTCAAAGAGCCTCTCACTATTTTTCACTCTCTTTCACTGGGTTGATGACCATCAAGTGCCACGCACGCTTCACCGGTGCCACCACCTCTGTGAGGGCAGCAAGAACCCGAATCCTGCGCTCTGTGCTACCTCGGAAAGATCACTGAAAGAACTACTGACGCCCTGTGCTTGGAGATGGACCGTGTCATGGACGGCTGTCGCGATGTGCTCCTGGCTCCTGCGCATTGCTGAGAGATGCTGCTGAGAGCTCATCGAGAACGAAGAGGCAATCATGTCAAACATACTGCAACATGCAGTGTGTTTCAACCGATTAGTCGGAATATGTCACAGTCCGCCAGTCCATTGCGACTTCGTCTTCGGGTCCTTGAAGCGAAGGTTCCTGCAGCAGAGGCGGCTGCCCCACTCCCTGACCTTGCAGTCCAAGGCGCGGCTGTGCGGCTGAGTGCAGCAAGTGTCATGTGACACAAAAAGCCCCTGCTCTCACAAGCCGGCCACATCCGGCAACAGTGAGTCTAGGCCGCTAACTGCACGACCGTGCCCATCGTGTCGGTGGCGGCTCGTACCAGGTGCGGCATCTGAGTCTTGTCAGCAACAATCCCCACATTTCAACCCCGTCTGTTCAAGGCAATATGACGAATTTTGTTACTTTGTTCACGCTGGAAGCTGGACGGGCAACACTGAACATCGGCAGCACGGTATGCTGAAGAAATACGCTGCTGCTCCTATGTGGGGGTTGTTCCAAGTTTTCCCGGCTTGGAGGTCCGTTTACCATGGGCTCCTCAGGTACCAGAATACTGTCAGTTGAAGTCAGTGACAGTCCGAGCCTGCTCACGCCCGCTTTGGACAACAGTGGCAGCTCCGCGGCCAAGGTCCTTCACGTCATTGCCGACCTGCTGTCGCTTTTTACTGTCTCGAGTCAGAGGTTTCGGTTCTACTGCGAGATACTGCGAGAGAGTGGCACAGCCGGGAGAGGGAGAGAGGGAGACGGCGTCGGAGCAATGGAGAGCAAGGGAACCCCGCAAGCCTCAACCACCTCGTTCTTGAGCGTTCCGAGTATCTGTGCCCAAGCAGCAATGCCGCACACAAACAGTACAACAGGCTGTCATTATGAGTATACACTCACCATATTATTTAGAAGGAACCTTACACCAATAACAGTCATAGAGACCCTACCTCACATGCTTCGCAGCTCTCTGAGCCAGCGACGCCATGCTTTTTGACATTGTACTTGGTCACGTTGACCTCGTCCTGTGCGGCGTGTGGCCGAAAACTGCGTGAAGCCCCATGAATGTTATGTTGATTTGATGCTTGAGCATGCATTGAAGGTCCTTGAAATACTCTTGCCAGGATCGAACTTCGAAATACTGCTCTGCGACAACCTGGCAAAAGTACTGTGATGCAATGTGTAACAGGCATGATGCCCTGACTGGTGCCACGGCTGGGCATGTTGTCTGGTGTCCCAGCTCCGGGCCTCAACGTTTTCCAAGGCCGCATTCCCCAGCAGCTCTAAGTCCTGGCGAAGGCTGCGGAAGTGGCGTAATCTGCTCCAGAAGCGAAGGAGCCAGTGGATCAGGCTCCTCCTCGCGGCCATTCTGGCTTTGGTAGAGCTCCTTAACTTCCCGATATGATTCCTCGGAAGCGGTCAGCCTGTTCAGGGCATGCTCCGGGTTGGCAGTTGGCATGCCTCTGTTTGCTGGATTTGCCTCAAGTAGACGTCGCAGATGTCCTCAGTGATAGCTGCGTTGCCTGGCCAAGTAACAAAACTAAACACACACACACACACACACACACACACACACACTCGGCTTCCATCTGAGGCTCTCAAGAGTGCCGTTTTGATCTGTGCTACTCTGTGATGTGCATGAAGCGACCCAAGCCAACCCCAAGCCTTCTCGCCGTGCAGCGATTCCTTAGCTAACTCCATGATGCCCAAAACACGTGCAACAGCAAGGTAAGAGTAGGAGCGCCTCCCGTCCTGTTGTTTAAAACTGCACGCTTGTGAAGGTTACAGGAGGAAGTGCAGAAAACACGGGTTGTAGCCTAGTTGCAAGCCTTGGAGTAAGGTACTTTGCAAGGCTCGAAGCATGTCACCATTTCGGGTTTCTTTCGAGTTTTCTCCTAGGTAACATGCACTGTCTGGGGGACCTGTAAGCAACATGTAGCCGCGCGTGGCAGAGAGCTCTTTTACGGTTTTTAGCAATCGGCAGGACGCACTCCTACCAAAAAACAAGGTGCCCTGAGAATCCCGGCGCTGCTGCAAGGCGGCAGTGTCAGCCTTTACGCGGTCGATAGCCTTGAGAACCTAAGCACGACGGTGTCCGTGCAAATGTCAGTGACAAAGCATGGGATAAACATGGACCCAGCACACTGAGCGCCTGAAGCATTGTGTGCAAATTTCAATGTGCAACCTGGTGTGTGAAACTGTGTGGCACTCTGCTACTGGACCAAAGATTCGGACCATTTCACGCGTGATCGGGCCAGCACCTGGCCAGCACCAGAGGCACGGCATGGCATGGCAAAACATGGTCACGGCAGGAATCTCCGGTACGGTACTCACTATGCATACATATGTAAGATGCATATATATATATATATATACGTATGTGTGTATTTGTACACACATACCTTGCAAGCTTTGGCTTGAGCTTGACTGGCACGAAGCGCCTGGCAGAGCCATTGCACTGGACCGACCTTAAGTTGTGTAGATCGAAAAACAATGAAGATCACCACCCACCACCTTGCACAACCAAACGCATGAAGAGGTCTGCAGAGCAGTCTCCGTACATTCGGCACAGCGAAGGCCAATCGAGCTGAGAATTCCGCTGGGGGCCGACGCGCCCGCGGGCCCGAGCCGCACGGGTGTGAGTGTGTCCTCGATGGCAGGTGCACAGCTCGCCCTCTTTTCATGGATTCCCAAAGCAACCGTCAGCTTCAGAGCTGTTTCGCCGTCACGCCGCGAAGCACTCTGTATCTTTCACACATACACGTGCCAGGTCAAACTGCAGATGAAATGAACGAGGAGAGGGACAAGCAATAGTGTGTGAGAGAAAGAGGGAACCAAGCTAGTGTCCACATGGCTTGCAAGTTACGTTGCCCGAGCCGCAGACCATCGGTGGAGGCTGTAGATCCTGCATAGGCAACTCTTTCGGGGAGGCCACGGGGCTGGACATGTTCTGGGTATTGGCATGGTATTGGCTGTCAACAGATTATGGGTGGTGGTCTGCAGAGGCAGTACACATAAAGATTGGCGTTGCAGATTCAGACATGCCTGCACTGTACTGGATGCTACGTGACGGTCCTCCAGTGTCAGCAAGCGTAGGTTCTTCTTGGCAACGACCTGATATGACGACGACCCACAGTGGCTGAAGCACTTTCGGCCCCGAGTCGTGACTTTGTCAGATTAGTTGCAGTTTTGAGCACACCTTTGCAAACAGAGTTGTCATCCGAAGTGCCTCGCTGGTTCCACCCTGACTGACCTCCATTAGGAGGACCGCTTTCTTGGACTTGCATGACTACCCTTTACTTGGTTGGGTTCATGATATTGTACACTTTCACATTCCTTTCTTGAAGGGTTCCATGGTCTTACGCTTTTGTCTTTGTATCCCGAGCATCCTGGCATCGTCCGGCCCCTATGCTCGGCCCGTATGCTTGGCTCACTTGCTTCCTTCTGGATCCTGCTGATCGTGGATACCCTTCCTCGGCCCCCTACAAATTCTTTGTGTTTGTTCCCTTGCTGTGCGTTGCCAGCAAACGAGCGGATTCTTGAAATGACCGTTCCACGTTTCAAGCCGTATGGCACTAGATACCACATCGAGCACGTTCTTCTGAGCCTACATTTTTTCGAAAGCATGCATGGCTGCGCCAGATTTGGAAAGCACCGGAAACCCTCAAAACGGGAAAACGGAACATATGTGTTGGGAAGCCACAACAACAAGTTGCAGCATCAATACCTAGTACTGTGCCACCCTTGCAGCACTTCTTCGACTTTGCTTGCCCACGGGGGCCTTCACGGTGCTGTCCGAGTGGAGCCGCACGCCTGGCATGTCTTTGCCGAGGCTTAATAAATCCCAAACCGCAGCACAAAACTGAAATTCGCACACCTCCAAGGTTAGGGTACTGACTTGCTTCTTCGCAGCCGTTGCAAAGTTGTCACTTCTCATAACTTGAGGGTCTGCGTTCGTGTCAAAGCTCAGAACCATCTTAACATCATCATGGAGGGCTCCCGTCTGCTCGGACGATGGATGCAAGTTGTAACTTTCATCATCCAACTGATCCATGGCGCTCATCTATATGCCTTGACCGGAAACGGCGTTGCTACATGGATCCTCGCCCACAGATGCAGCGCAAGATCCTCCGCCCCTAAGAAAACACAATTTTTCCAACATATGTGCCACACCAAGTCAACCTGGATCGAGCAACCTTAACAATTGTTCTTAAAAAATTGCTCCAGGCGTCAAAGCCGGCAAGATCCGAAGGTCAGTCAGGGCAACCGACTGCATGAGTCCCACCAGGCATCCCTGGTATGGCGAGGGATGCCAAATTGGCTGAACTTTTCCACATTTTGTCAAGCTGCAGCTGGCATAGTTGCGGTGGCGAGGGTGGGGTTCGCTTGCGAACAATATTCTGTCCCACATACCCCTCCTGCGCTTGTGCGTTCCTGCCCAAAGCTGCAGCGGAGCGGTTGAAGCCCACACGCCGAACCCGAGAACAAAGCTTCACATGCCCGTGAATCCGCTAAACTTTAGCTGACGGATGCTGACGAGAACAATCAAAGCCCGAGGCATGCCTTTCTGTCCACGCAGGCTAAGCTTCACAAACTTGCACAGGACAGCCGTTCTGATCCATCCGACCATCCCTTCCAGCCTAATCACAAGTTTTGAAATCGCTCGGCAGGAAAATCTTCATGCAAACGCTTGGCACGCGTGAATTTGTTTGGCCCCGTGACAGCTGTGGACGGTGTGCAAGCCCATTTACATTCGGCATGTGAAAGTGTGCACAAACTCCTGCCAATCGAGAACAAGTCCGAATCCAACAAAGCGGAAAATACATGAACAACATATTCGGTACCCAACTTCGTCTCTTTGCACACATGCCAGTTGTACGATATCTCAGCTGTTTGTCGTCGAAGCCTGGGTACAGCAGGATCCATGGGACACGTCTCTCGGGCATGCAAATGGCCGTAAGGCCGCGACCTACGATCTCACCGCGCAGGCCATTCAACGTCTTGGCACGCTGCTCATGCAAAGACCAAAGTGACCCTCCAGAATGTCAACTTGTCAACTTGCGCCTGAGCCTTTTGTAGGCTGTGCAGTTCCACGTGTGCTCCATTTGCTAGCCAATGAGGATCACCTCCAAGCCGTGCATTTGACATACTGCGTGTACGCAGATGCTTACGGCCTTCGCTGCGGAGATCAGGTAACTTGGAACCTGAGAAATTTCGGGTCCACTCATGCTTGTACAGCCACAACTATTGATGGGTCTGGCAAAACTCCAACTTGTTGCCAGGCCCTCCACCACTACTGCAGAGTATGCTTTCGCAAGGCACACCTTGAAGCAATGACATGTCTTCCAGTCTTGGGGAGCTACTTGCTTCCTCCTGCATTTGGCGCAGTGCTTCTGCCTGCCACAAAGCAGATCCACAAATGAGTTGCAATGAAATGAACTGAACAAAGCCAATTCCATGCACGGCCGAGGGAAGGAAGGCATCCCCCCTTTTTGGTCTCCTCTCTCCTGAGATGGCGCTTCCGGATCCGTCCAGTCCAGCTCGAGGGTGAAACCTCCGAGCCCTGTTTCGTCTGCATACGAATTTCTGAAAACTCGCACTCTGCAAAATCCTTCGCCCTCACCTCAGCAACCGCTTTCTTTGATTTGCACGAAACAGCTACATACACACACATGCCTGCCAGACAGATACATATACATGTGTATATATATATATAGATATTCATATATATGGTCACGTCACCACCCCCCCCCCCCCCCCCCATGATCCACCCTTGCCCTTTCCTGTTCTGCTTCGCCCTGGCTTGTGATTCAAGCTCATGTCGTCAAGCCACGAAACCATCGGTATTTACGATGATTTCTATAGTTGTCGAAGCATCTCTCGAGTGAAAACTTGCTTAACGACTGTACCGGAGCACTTGTTTTCTGAAACCGAAATCCGGCTTTGGATTCAGTCATTTCTAGATACTGAAGCTACACTCCTCACAGAGTTTTCGGACCTTCTGATGCCAGAACACCAGTTTTAGCTACATTCTATTTATCAAAAAGCAACATCTGAAATCTCATGTGTGCATCGCCCGATAAGCAAAAACCAGAACAGGAGTTATTTAGCTTACGTTTTCTCTAATATGGCGTTGGGATTTCAAACTAAATTCATGAAATCTATTCGTTCAAGCAATAACATATTTCAATTTAATTTCCTTAAACTAACTTAACTTACCGGATCAGTTAGACCAAGTTAATTACTTATAAGAATGACATGAACTAACCTAATTTACGTAGTTGAATGAAGTAAATGAATTCACTGAATTAAGCGGATTAATGTATTCAAAGTATTTAAATTAGTGAAATTATGTAAATTAGCTGAATTACATGAACGGCAAAATTAAAAAAATGTAGTTCGAATTATAGTAATTATACTACTTGTTCCAACTCATTGAAATCTATTTACTGCATTCGTTGAATCCATTAAACTCAACAAACTAAACAAAATTGCGACTAAATTAACTGAACTATTGAAACTACTGAAACCACTTAAATGAGATAAATTAACTAAACTGACAGCATCAAACACATGAACAATTTCACTCAAGTAAACAACTGAATTGAATTATGTAACTGAACAAAACTAGTTACATTGTTTCGCTTAGTTACATGAACTGAATTTCTTTTGAAACAGGCATTAAACTCATTAACTTAACTATACTAAGTTAATAAAGTAAACTATTTTAATTTGGCTACATGAGCTCGACTCATCAGAGTCACTATTTTAATTGTACTAGTCAAGAAGTTTTAAGTAAGCAAAATTTTTACATTGCATAAATCGGGGGGAAGAGGTCTGCCGTAGGAAAACGGGCGCGCGCGTCCGTCGTTCGGAAGTCACACCTCATCTTACGCAAACTCCGGCACGCCGTGGCGATCGCTGCGATGTCCACGCTTGCAACTTTGACTCGTCACCCAGTGGCCAGGCCGGACGGCCTTGCAGCACCGCCATCGCGCACCAGCCGCCGTGCCAGCGCCGACCAGAGCCGGAAGCAGAGGCGGCGGCCAGGCGCTTTCGCATGGCAGCGTTGCCGCGCTGCTCACGCCCGGGGTAGCAGACCCTCTTGACAAACTTGCATCTATGTCCGGTGGCCATCCAACCGCAAACCTCACACTGGTATCTGTTGTCACCGAGGTGTTGCACGACATGCAAAGGCTCTGGATGCCCCTCAGCGCGCACGCTCTGGCAGCCACACGCTCCGCTTCTTGCCGCTCTTCGACCGCTGCCGGGTCGTATTGCCTCGAGCGGGACCAACTCTTCAGCATCATTGGCCACGCGGCGCCTGACAGCAGGCTGCCGCCCCACTTGCTTTGTCGCTCGAGCTGTTGCAGCAGCCGAAAAGACCAGCGCCGAGCAGCGCAACCTCGGGCGGACCGAGAGACCCCAAGTTAAGATAGCCCGGCCGGCATGCCAGTTCCCTGCCACCCCAGAGCAATTCGGAAGTCATAACTAAACTAAAGGAGCTGAATTCATTCAATTCATTCTGAGTTCGATTCTCTACATTAACCATATTTCCTGGGACATATGTCCGACATACGTCGCAACTGATAAATTAGATAAATGAATCTTGAGTGAATTCAACCTATCGAGCTAACTATGAATTCAATTAAGTAGATTGAACTACTTACCTGGGACATATGTTCGACGTGCGTCGCACAGTTGTTCTAATTAAACAAAATCAGCTTAACTAAATGGCCTAATCTAAGCTAATTGAACTGATTCTGCAAATTCAATGAAACAGGTGAACTGGATGAGTTTAAACTACTTAAAATAAATACACTACGTACATTGATTCAACCAATTAAATTCATCAAACTCATGTAGTAGGACCGCGGGGCATCCTTGCCCGTGTGCTCTTCGGCAATTTTCGGCTGGAAAACTATGCCTTTCTCGGATTCTTCTCCTTTTCCGAGGCCTCCGTCACCTGAAGTTTTTCAGGCCCTTTTCAACACGCGCTTTTTTGCGGGTTTTTGCTTTTGGACACTTTTCATCTCTTGGCTGTGCTTCTTTTTTTCTTTCGGGTGTTTGCTTGTTCTTCTCTGTTGTTTGCACTTTTTATCTTATATATGACTATCTATGTTTGGCTCTCTGTCGCTTTTTCTCGTGTTTTGGCTTTCGGCCGCTTTTTTTGGTCTTCTTCCATGCCACTGCCGGCTCCGACCAGCCTGTGCCTGCTGAGGGTAGCCCTGGCTCTGCTGAGGCCGTCTGACTTGCATCCGTGTTCCTCTTGCGTGCGAATCCATGTCCGCGCGATGATTCTGTCCGTGTTACCATTGCGCGCGAATGGCCAGAGCATCCATGCCCGCACGATGAGAACGTCCGTGTTACCATGCCCGAACGATGACTCCGTCCGTGTTACCACTGCGTGCGAATGGCCAGCGGCCAGCGAACTTTGGGGCTCGCCATTTCACATCGATGATTTTCATGTTGTGAGTCCTAAACTACTTCATTTTGGTAGTCGCCACTTTTTGGACACTTTTTTGTGGCGTTTCTCTGAAATACTGCCCCTGCCAGCGGTTTCGGCCTGCAGCCTCAAGAAAATGCTTGTCCCGTACTACGGGCAAGAATCACCCGCGCACCATGTAGTACATGAATCATATTCATTGAACTTATGAAAATAAATATAATTATTGAATTAATTTTGAATTAAATCAATTGAGGTACTTCATCCTAAACTAATTTATTGAGTTAAGCTAATTAGACTTTTCATTTTTAGCTCTGCTACTTGTGTGAGTTGAGAATTTTGCAGAAATTAATGCAGACACCTTAGGCTTGGATTGGTCAGAATTTTCGGACTTTTCGAGCTGGCTCGAAAAGACTCGCCACGAAACTCGAGCCGGCTCGAAAAAACCCGAAAAACCCGCAATCGCCGAAACCATGCCCCGCAAGCCTTGATGGGTTAAAATTTCAGGTTCTTTCGAGCCGGCTCGAATAACCTCAAAATTGTTACATTACCAGGCCCGCAACGAGCCGGCTCGAAAAATCCCGAAAGGCCCGAAATCCCAGAATCCATGCCCCTCGGCTTGACGGGTTAAAATTTCAGGTACGAAGCTCGAGCCGGCTCGAAAAAAAAAACCCGAAAAAACCCGAAATCCCAGGAAGAATGCCCCTCAGGCCTAAATGAAGAAAATCAGGGTCTTTCGAGCCGGCTCGAAAAACTCAAAATTTATAAAGGAAGCATGGCTCGAGCATAGTTTCTGAAATTTCGGGTTTTCGAGCCGGCTCGAAAAAGCCCGGAATTCAAAGGGGGAACAGGGCCGGACCAAACCTTAAACCCTTGTAAGCCCTAGACCTTAAACCCTAAACCCTAACCCCCAAACCACACCCACACCCGGGGGGGGGTCTTAAACCTTCAACCAGATCACACCACGGGCCTAGACCTTAGACCCTAAACCCCGAACCCTAAACCCTAAACCTCAGACACTAATTAAACCCTAACCCCCGAACCACACCCACTCCGCAGGGGGGGCTTGGGTAGGTCCTAAACCTTAGACCTTACACCCAAAACCCTGACCGCTTAACCACACCCACACGTAATCCAAGGGAGGATGAGGCTGGGGACACTCCCCCCTCCCCCCCCCCCCAAAACCCCAAACCTCCCCTAAACCTTAAACCAACCTTAAACCTCACACCCTTAACCTGAACCTTCAACCCCAAACGCCAATCGCCAACCCCCACATTCACAGCACAGGCAGGGGGGGCTAATCCTTCAACCCTAAACTCATGTAAACCCTAAGCCTCAAACCTTAAACACAAAGCCTAACCCCCAAACCACAGGGGGCGCAGGGGTAGCACGGGCGGACGGTCTCTTAAACCTTCAACTCCTAACCCCAACCCCCCGAATCACACCACGGGCCCTTCAACCCCGAACCCCAAACCCCGAACCCTAACCCCTAAACCCTAAACCCTAACCCCTAAACCCTAAACCCTAAACCCCAAAACCTTACTCACTAAACCCTAACCCTCCAACCACACCCACACCACGGCGGGGGGGGGGGGGGCGGGGGTATAATCTTAAACCTGAAACCCTAACCCCCAATCACATTCAAGGGAGGAGGGGGGGTGGATACCATTGGGTGGGGGGAGGCAGCCCGAGACCATATTTCTATTGATATTGATATCATATCACGTGCGAATGCCAACGACCCACACAATTGCAGGAAGATGGCCGGGTCTGATGTAGCTGTCGCGATACTTGTGCATGGCCTCAAGCGGCACCTGGCATGATTGCGCCGTGCTTGCTTTGATCCCAAGAGATGCGCAGCGTGATGGCAGAGTTGCACCGTGCCTGTCGATCTGCTGAGCGTGCCAAGTTGGAAGCAAGCGCTGCTTCGAAGTCTCTCTCCTGAGCCGTTCATTGTGGGAACCGCCACTGTCCAAGGGGCACATGCCGCCCTGCTTCGATGGCCACAATCTCCACTGCGACCTCAATCTCGTACTTGCTCAAGTTCTCAAGGAACTGCATGCGATGTCTGGGTGTGTACCTGAGTTTTCTTCTATCACACGAAAACAACCGGCATTTTTAACAAAACATGAACGTTCTTGTAATACACATATTGTATATGTATATATAAATCAACTTAGCTGCTAACTTTTGACGCTCGCACCATGACCATGTCAAGGTTTTTGAGTTGTACACTCAATTCAGTATTGATGCCAAAAACACTAGTACTGCTTGTTCTTTTCACATGACACAACTCATCCAAGTTTCTCTGAAGTATAAAATATATTTGCATTGCAACTCACACCAAAGCTATCCTATGCTGCAAGTTGGTAGGGGGTTGGCCTCCCAACACATATCGGGCAACGTGCATGTTTCTCTTTCTTGAAAGCTGCAGCAAGGCTGCAGCAAGTCATCAAAGAACACGGCCGACTCTGCTCGGCCGTGTGCGGCTATCCAGGTGCTCTTGCCAGCCTCAGTCGGGACCATTGGGGTTCACCTTGAGGCATGCGCTGGCGCACGGGAAACAGTTGTGCAAAGAGGAACGAAGCCGAAGTCTCTTCGAACTGTTGCAAGAAGCACAAGCTTGTTGACACACTCTTGGCACCGAGCGCCTGGGCATCCACAAGTGCATATGATCCTGATCCAAATTTTTCCGTCCAAAGGTGAGGCTTCAAACCGTTCACGCAAACTGGTAGCATGCTGCCTCCTGCACTGGCCATTCTGGACCAAAACCTTCAGCCTAGGTCTATGTGGAACTGTTGGTGGGGGCATGCGGCACCGAAAGCTCAGACAATCCGGACCCAAGCTCTGCTCAAGCGGCCTCTCAAAGCACGCCGTCTTGGCGGACTCGACGCGTTCGGCAGAAAAAGCATACACTCCATCTTTGTAGAGGAACTGATCCACGCTCAACACCTGCTCAATGCTTCGCTGCTGAAAGAAATGCTACCTGAGCATGTGCATCTCACCTGCGGGCCAGCTTCTTCATGGTCAGGCTCGAGCATCGGAATTATATGGTGAGAATGTGAACTAAGCATGCGTCGTCTGCTGACAGCTGACATGCCGATTGTGGTGGCTATCCATCTCTGGCTCTGGCTCTCCCCGAGACAGGTTAAAGGATGTTAAAGAAATTCAAAGAAACATCTGAGAGCCAGGTGCACACGCGTCCATGTGAGTCGCATCTGTGATCCACAAAAATGGAGCGGCGTTCTTGCCAGCTTCAAAAGCCCGGGCCAAGCAGTGGTGCCTCTTCAGCAGACAACCCATCGCCCGACATCGCCTGTGTCCAGACGCTGTGCTTCTCACACGCTGTCTTTTCTCCTGCCTCCGGGATGCTCTTGGCAACCAGGGGCAAATTTGCGCGGGTTATGTTATCGTCAGGTCGGTGGATTTTCTGCTGGGCTAAGATTGGCTTCGTGAGTGAGCGACGTGAACAAAGTGGAACCTTCTTTCATGCTTCACAACTCAAGCTGGCGTGTTCATTGACGTAGCTGGCGCATTCTAAGCTTGAGCAAAAAGTTGCTCGCGATGCGACTGATTCGTTATGGCAGTTTCCCTGCTTCATGAATCATTCAGAATCATTCATGAATCTACAAGAACCCATGGCCGAAGTAACACCTGCCACGCAAGCATGCGCACAATGACAAGTGCCATTTCGCGCGCTCGGTGAGCTCGGAGCTGGTCACTGCAGCTACCTCCGACTCGCGCTGCCATTTCCGGCAAGATGCAGGTGCTGCGCGAGGTGCTTGCCGTGCTTGGAGTACTTGTGCATGGACGTGCTTCTCCGTCTGATCAAACACGATCACCGTCGCCACCTTTTCTCGGGCGGCTCAGCAGGACGCATAGACCCCATCGCTCCTCAACGACAGCAGCGTATGCTGTCTTTTGTATGGGGACGTCGTGTATGAGAGCCCATCAGCACCAAGTAGTTGAGGCTGCTGCCATACTTGGGCGTCATGGCCATGGGACCACCTTTGCCTGCGAACAGCCTGGGCAGGGTAGCTGTGGTAGCTTGACGCTGCCACATGGATTCTTGTGCTCAAGAGATCTCAAGAGCAATCGTATTTTAATGTCTGGGGTTGCCGGTCCCTTCGGCAAATCACTTTTCTCTTCAAACCTCCTAAACTGTTGCGGCCTTCTTTCGATTGCCGCCAGGCCTTACCAATGCTGCAGGTACCAGGAGCAGCGACTGCGCTCAGTGCTCCTATGCTCAACTCAACTGAGCAGCATGCTTGTCTCTGGCTCACCTGGGGGCCCAGGTGGCCCGGGTGGCCCTGGAGGTGCGGGCGGCGTGGGTGCGCCCTCAATCGCCTGCCTCGATGTGATGCATCTGGGACAACCTGACTGCAGGGCTTCACGGGAGACTCAGCCCGCGGCCTCTTGGCGCAGGGTGCGGGGCCTTAATCAGTGAGCTCAACGAAAAACCGAACCGGAGAGCCCCCGAACGCTCCCTCCCACCTGGGCCAGGGCCGGCAACTCCAGGCGCAGGCCTTCACAGGGCTTTTGCGGGGCTTCGTGGGGCCCTTCTGCTTTAACGGGATGCCCCGAGACAGGCACGGCGAATATCGAACGGCCCGGCAAAAGGAGAACTTGCGAACGAACTTAAACATGCAAACGAAGTCTGGCTTGGATCCTGGCCCTCTTGGAGACTCCGCAGGAGATCCAAAGGACCCACCTCTGCTGCAGCAGGCTCAGGCTCTTCGCTCTCAAAGCAAAAGCTGGGGCTGCAGCTTGCTTTGGCAACCGCAGCTGACAAAGGACCCTTCGCTGCTGCAACGGCGCCCTGCCTGGATACAAGATGACGCAAGCAAGCGCGCCGTGCAACCACTTGCAGTCGGGGGGAGAGAGGGAAGGGCGAGGGGGTGGGGGGGGGGGGGGGGGGAACCGTGAGCCTCCCGCCATTGACTACTAAACAAAATAAGAAACATGCCGAATCTGGAGAAGAACAGGAAACGGCAACCATTGCCCGAAGTTTAAGGTCTCCTTATAGATTTCAAACCTGGATTGGTTCTGAGGCATAACCTGAACGATTTTCGAACATGCGCCGCTCAAAAACCTCCATACAGACATGGCACTTCTAGTTGGCAGCGCCCTCCTCTGGATCCAATCTTAATACTGGTTCGCCAGATGGATTCGTCCCGTCCACTCACCTCTCATTCTTTTTGCACAATCTTCATCATCATATCTTCTATCTCCAGATAATATCTGGATCAGTGAAGAGAGTGAGTGGTTATTCAACATTGTAACATTGGGCTTATAAAGAGTTCACGAACGTATGAAACCCAAGTGAGGCTCAAGTGAATAGGCGAACGAATGAACATAACTTCAGCTTCCAAGCTTGTTGAAACCGCCCCAGAGGTCCTAATGAACAAAGTGAGCGTATTTAATAGACTTCTGAGGAAGCGCATGAACTCCATGAAAATGCGTACAGCAGCAAGGGGCCCATTTTAACCCCAAATCGCACACTCTTATGGTCTTCTTTTGCATCCTGTGTAAGGTGTGCTGATAAATAAAGTAGCAAACTGAGTACCACTCCTCAAACCCTGGACAAGTGGAATACTATGGCATGGCGTTTCTTCCTGGGACCTTGGCCACCCAGATGATCAGCTTTTGGTTCAGTTAAAACCTCACCATCCTTTGCTGGTGAACCTTACGGCCTACAAACAGTTGTCAAAGGGAGATGCTATGGAAAGCAATCAACCGAATGCCCTGGATGAAATGCAGATATTTGTTTGCAGACGAGATCTGTCTCGATCTCAAGTGACTCAAGTGCAAGCTCAAGTGACTCAAGTGCAAGAGCTTTCCGCTCAAATCGAAGGAACGCTGATAAACTGCAGCGGCGCACGATGATGCAAAACGCGCCGGACCTTTGGAATATGGCTTGGCATGGCTTTGTCTTTTACCACAACGTGCGAAAGGTACTGTGGCTTGCCTTTGCTTTGTTAAGCGGAGTAGTGGTAAGAGTGTTTTTTGATTCCGTACATTTCTTGTTCAGCACGTCTTTTTTGTAACTCACGCGGCTGGCAAAGAAAAAGACACCCGGGGCGGGTTTTGTTGGTTCGGCACGCGGCTCGCCCAGAAAAACAGAGGAAACAAAAACTCCGGGCACGTCAATTCTCACTCACTTGCGGACCCGGGCTCGCGTAGGCCTTCGTCCGGGGCCTTTTTTTGTTCGGCACACGGCTGGCAGAGCAGAAAAAACCACTCCGAGCGCTTGGTCGGGAAGCGGCTGGCCTAGCAAAAGAAAAGCCTCAAACTTTCCTCGTGTCACTCACTTCTTATATGTTCGTAAGAAAAACCCGCTCTTATCTCTGCGTTTTCAGCCAGAAACAACTGATTGTCTCTATGTTCCTAGAAGAAAGCTGTATTTCCACAAAATTTCCATAGGAATCCCTCTATTTTCTATATTTATAGGAAACCTCCTATATTATAGAAACACACATATATATATATATATGTGTGTTGCACAGCACCCGGGGCGCGTTCATTCCATTCGGGACGCGGCTGGCCGAGCAAATCAACCCTCCGGGCGCGTGTGTTTTTGTTCGGGACGCGGCCAGCTGGCCGAGCAATAAAAGGAAAAGGACAAGAGCTGGCCGAGCAAAGCAAAGAACACATGTTCCCGGAGGAATGGGGTATCCGCAAGTGTCGTGTCAAATGCAGGTTTTCGCCTTTAACTCGGGCGGACTTCGTCGCCTGACGAGCTGTGACTGCACGGGAGACTCAGCCCGCGGCCTCTTGGCGCAGGGTGCAGGGCCTTAATCAGTGAGCTCAAGGAAAAACCGAACAGGAGAGCCCCCGAACGCTCTCTCCCACCTGGGCCAGGGCCGGCAACTCCAGGCGCAGGCCTTCACGGGGCTTTCGCCAGGCTTTCGCGGGGAGTCGCGGGGAGTCGCGCGGGGGGCTTTCGGGGTTGCTTTTCGCAGTTGCTTTTGCGGGGCTTCGCGGGGCCCGTCTCTTTTAACAGTATTTTTAACAAGATGCCCCGAAACAGGCACGACGACTATCGAACGGCAAGCCCAGCAAAAGGAAAACTTGCCAACGAGCGTAACATGCAAACAAAGTCTGGCTTGGATCCTGGCCCCCTTGGAGACTCCGCAAGAGATCCAAAGGACCCACCTCTGCTGCAGCAGGCTCAGGCTCTCAGCTCTCAAAGCAAAAGCTGGGGCTGCAGCTTGCTTTGGCAACCGCAGCTGACAAAGGACCCTTCGCTGCTGCAACGGCGCCCTGCCTGGATACAAGATGACGCAAGCAAGCGCGCCGCGCAACCACTTGCGGTCGGGGGGAGAGAGCGGAAGGGCGAGGGGGTGGGGCGGCGGGGGAGGGCGGGGGGGGAATCGTGATCTGAAAAGGGTGAAGTCAAAGCAAAAAACAAGAAACATGCCGAATCTGGAGAAGCACAGGAAACGGTACTCATTGTCCGAAGTTTAAAGATTTCGGCTCTACTGCACGCCGCATGCCTCCGTGAATGGAATCACGATTTTGCCCTGCTCCGCAGGCCCCACCACCGTATGGGCCATGAAGAACGATGTTCAAACATCCAACCATGATTTGTCAGACAGAAAATCAGGTGGAGCAATTGAAGAGCTAGGCCCGGCTAACAGAGGCTACAAGAGTCGTTGCGGGCCCAGCTTTTGCGTCAGTCTTGCGGCAGGGAAGGCCGGGCTAGAAGGGAGCGCAGGGAAGGGGTAAGAAGGGCACCCAGAAAAGCGCAGTCCAGGGGGCGAGCATCTTTGGGACATCACTGGGACCAAACCCCAAAGTGCATGGAAAAAACTCTCTGCGGTGTCGTTTTCCTGCACTATTCACGCTACGGTGCCTATTTTTTAATATGCGGACATTTAAATAAATAAAACAAATAATTGATACTACCTCCGTGAGGGGTTGGGTGGGGCCGCCCCTTTTTTAAACACCTGGAA